ATGGGCTGCCAACCCCTGATCTAGGACAAAGAGAAGAGAGAACATTATTATTTTAAGCAGGTTGGAACCGTAAGACCAGAAAGGACTGTTTCTTATCAATAGGAGGGAGAACTTAAAAGCAACAGCAAAAAAAGGTGACTACATTCTATTTGCCCAATACAGGTAGTCCTCAACATATGACTACAATTGGGCCCAATGTTTCTGTCATTCAGTGAATTTTGCCCCATTTGATGACCTTTCTTGCCACCCCCATTAAGTGAATCCCTGCAGTAGTCAAGTCAGTAACACAGTTGTTAAGTGAATCTGGCTTCCGCATGGACTTTGCTTGTCAGACATTTCAAAAGACCATCACGTAACCCTAGGATACTGCAACTGTCACAAATATGAACCAATTACCAAACATCTGACCCCAGGATCTTATGGATGCTACAATAGTGTGAAAAACAGTCTTAAGACAATAGTCACTTTTTTTCAGTGCCGTTGTAACCTTGAACGGTCACTACATGAACTGTTGTAAGCTGAGGACTACCTGTAGATGACTTAGAGCAGTGGTCCACAACCTTTTTTGTACCACGGACTGGTACAATCCACAGACCAATCCATGGACCAGTACCGGCATCAGCACGCATGACCAAGGCAAGGCGAGCTGAGCGACCAGCCAGCCAGCCATCCCCCGCTTCTCCCCACCACCTTCAACTCCTCCTTTGTACCTTCTTGTGGTCGATGGGCTTTTCGGGCTCTTTCTTAATCTCCTCCTGAGTAACGTGAGACTCCACCGTCATCAGGATGGCTCTTCGTTCGAAGCCGCACCTCACTCTTCGACGAAACTAAGACGCGAGAATTCCTTCAGCACCCAAACGCCGCTTTCCAACTGACGACTAACAAGCTCACCCGGAAGCACTTTCTCAAGCGCCGTTGAAACAAGATGGCGACGCCCAAGCAAAATAGGCGGCCCGGTACAAAATGATCCATGGACCAGTACCGGTCTGGGGCCCAGTGGTTGGGGACTACTGACTTAGAGGATGACACATTTATGGAGTACTGTATGGAGTACTCTAGTACTGGAGTACTAGATAAGTTTATCTAGCTTTTAAGGAAGTTGTCAAATGACTATTTTTTAACAGAGATGGAACCAGCCCAACATTAACCCTGAATTGCTGATTTATTCTGCTGTTGACTCTCCATCTATCGTTTAACCAGAGGTGATGAACCATAGCTCGTTTATGACTTGTGGACTTCAACTTCCAGAATTCTTGAGCCAGCTATGCTTGCTCAGAAATTCTGGGTGTTGAAGTCCACAAGTCATACTGTTGTGGCCTGTCAGCCGCTGGCCCCTTTGGCAGCCAAATCAGATGAGGAGGCAGCGTGGGAATCAGGGCCGGCATTAAGGCGACTTAAGAGCTCTGAGAGGCAAGAGGAAATGGAGCTGTCAGAGATAAAGGCAGAATCTCAGTCCATCAACCCTCAGATGGAGAGTCACAACAGGCCCCCAGATCTGGAGGTGGCTGATGAGGAAGAGGAGGAACAGCTGAGACCAGTGTGCCTGATGCACAAATGTGCAGAAGGCAGAGGAGAGGAGAGCAGTGGAAATCTACGGGCTGATCCTTGGGACAGAAGAACCACCATTGCTAGCAAAGCTCTGGGGATAAAAGGCAGGGGGCGGAGATGAATAGATGTGGCAAATTCATCTCCCTGTCGGTCAGTTGCAGATAGCCTGCGCTCCTGAATCCCGTCTGGAAATTATCAGAATTCTTCTTGGAATCTGCAGCACCTTCTGAGCATGTGTGTGTGCATGTGTGTGTGCTGCTGAAAGAAAGCAAGTGCATCTTCCAGGTCTTCCTGTGTGAGAAGAGATAGAGAGAGAGAGAGAGACTCTTGGTGTGTTGGACCAGTTCAGGGAGAAAGAGAGCGAGTGTAACTTTCCACAGAACCAGGGGTGGGATTCAGCCAGTATGGACCAGTTTGGGTGAACCAGTAGTTCTGGCAATTAGTGGACCCCACCTGCCCTCCCCTGCCCTAGTCTGTCCTATGTTTCTGTATTTTTCAGCCCAGCTGATTCGCGCGGCACAGTGGATTGCCACGCATCAGCTGTTTTACTCATTGGGGCTGGAGCAGAAGGTTTGTTTTAGAGCTGAAAATGAGTGGTTTTGAAACGTACACATGCGCAAAGCGCAGACTCACCAAACAGTTGTTACACCAGTTGTATCCCACCACTGCACAGGACTTAGAGATTTTGTTAGCCTGCTGTGAGAGAGTGGCCACCGGTGCCTCCTACTAAAGGGAATGTTTTGTTAACTGCAAAGGACTTGTCCTGTTTGGGAGCCAGGTCAGAACATAAACGGGCCACTGGTTCCTCACCCCTGACCTGAACCCATGAGATTCTGTCACACGACAGCTCCTCCCATGAAATACCCACACTCCAAATTGTACTTCGGTAGATTTCAAAAGCACAGTGTGAAAACTGATGTGGCCTCACATCCATTTCGAGTGGAGGCACATTAGAACATAGACATATGGACGTCATTGTGGGGGTAGCGCACAGATGGTGCACAGCCAGTGCTAAGTAAAGATAAGGAAGCCAATTAAAGCTTCGGCCTGATCATTCTGGTTGCTAGGCAGATACACGGAACACCAATCTGAGCTTCCCTCATTTCAGGTCTGTGACAATGCAGGTAGTCCTCAACTTATGACCACCACTGACCCCAACCTTTCTGTTGTTCAGTGAAGTAACCTTTCTTGCCTCCGTTGTTAAATGAATCACTGCCATTAGTAGCCTGTTGTGGTTTGCCAGAGCCCTGAGAAATTGGCAGCAGACTCGGACAGTGGCCCAGTTCTGGAGTCTGGGGAGGGCTCGGATGAGGTCCTGCGTCTGACACAGAGATGGGGCCAGGGCCATCTAGGAGTTATGTGCTGACTCCGGAGCCTCCAAAATCTGACATCAGTGAGGCAGAGGAACAGAAGGATCCTGTTCCCAGTGTGCACTTGCACAGAGCTGCCAGAAGGCAAGAACAGCTAAGACAAAAGGGGTGACTCAGGAGTAAGGCTTGGGGATGATTGGCCCCCTCCCATAAGACATAAAGGAGGAGCAAAGGGACATGAGCCTTTGCAGGAAGCAACTTTGTTCATTCTGGTCGGCTTAAACTCTGAAGCTCCGTGTTGACTTTATGCTCTATTTGGCCTTGTAAAACATCTAATTGGCAATTTAGTCATTGGCAGCATTTCAAGGGAGATAAAGGTGGGTGCTTATCAGCCTTATCCTGAGGGACTCTGACAGACTTCTGTTGGACTATTCCCTGTTTGGGACTCATTATGGGCTATGAATGCATATAATTCACAGCCGTTGAAATAAAAAGAGGATTTTGGGACTAAGCAAATGATTGTTATGGTCTCAGGAAGCCTCAGTCAGAACATAATCCAGCTCTTGAGTGAACCAGGCTTCCCCGTGTGAGAAGGTCGCCGAAGGGGATCACATGACCCCGGGGACAGTGCAACCATCATAAATACAAGCCAGTTGCCAAGCATCCAAATTCCGATCATGTGACCCTTGGGGATGCTGGAACGGTCGTAACTGAAAAACAGCCCTAAGTCATCCCAAAGGTGCTTTTTTCAGGAGGCAACTGGGCTTTCCTGTTTTTTTTCTTCAACTTCACTACAACTGTTGAGTGAATCATACAGTCATTAAGTGAACCTGGTTTCCCCATTGATTTTGCTTCTCAGAAGGGTTTGCACAAAGTGATCGGGTGACCCGGGGACACTGCAGCTATCATAAATGTGAACCAGTTGCCAAGCACCTGAATTTTGATCATGTGAGCATGGAGAGGCTGCAATGGCCATAAGTGTGAAAAATGGTCATAAGCCACTGCTTTCAGTGCTGTAACATTGAACAGTTACTAAATGAGTGGTTGTTGAGGAGTACCTGTATCCTCAATTTCTTTGAGAGTACATCCTTGCCATAGAACAGAATAGCAGAATAACAAGAGTTGGAAGGGACCTTGGAGGTCTTCTAGTCTAACCCACTGTTCAGGTAGGAAACTATACCATTTCAGACAAACGGTTGTCCATTCTCTACTTAAAAACCTCTGGAGGGTAGCTGTTCCACTGGCTAATTCTTCTCACTGTCAGGAAATTTCTCCTTATTTCTATTGGTTCTGTCCTTGATTGTTCTGACTTAGGCTTCCCAAGATCATGAAGCAGACTCCTCGTCCCGATAAAACCCCTTTTATTTAGATTAAAGTGAATTCCTCTCCAGCAAAGTCCCAGAGAACAGTCTTTCATGAGATTTCACAACTACAGACCTTTATCTGACTTGGAGAGTTGCCAGGCCGATATCTTCCAAACGCCACGCTGTAGCAGCAATTACTTGACAAGAAGTCAGGAACAGATCTTCACCCTAATGAATTGAACTAATTGTCTCCTGCAAACACCCCTCCTCCTTTCGCTCCTCTTTATTCCCTATGGAAGGGGGCCAATTCACCGTCCACCGGAGCCTTTACTCCCGAATCGATCCTTGTTCCTTAACTGTTCCCTTCTTCTGGCAGTTCTGCACATGTGCACACTGGGAACAGGCTCCAGCTATTCTTCTGCCCCACTGATGTCCGATTCCGAAGGCAGCTGATAACAGTCAGATGGCCCTGGTCCCGTCTCTGCCTCCAGCGCAGAGCACTTGCTGGTCCATGTTCCTCCCCAACCTCCTCGCTGTCTGTGTCTGCCACCAGCTCCGCCGGCAGGCTACAACATTGATTAGTTTCCATCTATTGCTTCATGTTATCCCTTCAATTGCTTTGGAAAATATATTGACCCCCCCTCTTCTTTGTGGCAGCTCCTTAGATATCGGAAGACCGCTCCTCATGTCACCCCACATCCTTCTGTTCATTAAACTAGACATACCCCATTCCAGCAACGGTTCTTTATACCTTTTAGCCTCCAGTCCCCTAATCATCTTGGTTGCATAGTTTCATTCAGCTGGAATTCATTCGGTTTGGTGGTTTTTTTTTTCCTAGGTCACCATGAAGAATTTGTCCACTCAAGAAGTTGCCACGTTCACCTACAGTGACTGGCTCTCCAAGCAGTGGGGCGACAATTTGACTCTCCAGTGTGAGATTGCAGCGATGATCAACGATGAGCTGATGATGGAAGAGACAACGTATGTTATTCAGGTGAAAACCAGCAATATCGGAGGTGCGTTCCTATTGGGAATACCGGGTGTAACTCAAGACTCTCGTCCACACTTCTATTGCCACCGCAGGTTACAGGTAGCTCTTGACTTACAGGCAGGGCTGTCTTAACGCCTGGGCCTGATGGGCACTTGACCGTAAGCCCCACAAGCATAGGGGACCCCTACTAATCTTTGTATGTTAACCCTTCGATGCACCTTGTATCCTATAAATACAGCAACATGCTTATTACATTTGATTGCATTTTATTATTAATACTAACATGCAAATATGAGTTTAATTTTATCGACCATTTACATTTTTATTCCTGTGAGTAGTTGTCGAAGGGGGCCCCAGTACACTGCTTTGCCCGGGGCCCATAATGCTGTGAAGGCGACCCTGCTTACAGGACATTCGTTTAGTCACTGTTCAAAGTTACATGAATTGGCATCCTTCGGTCTCAAGAGACAATGGCATCGTGCTATGAAACCGATAACTGCCACTTCCCATGTTGTTTCAATGCTGTATGCAAAGCGGGAGTGTCCTCTCCAGATGTTCTGAGCCAAACTTTGTTCCAAAAAAACAAACACGAAACAGAGATAAAAGCAAAACCTTTTAATGCCTCTCTGCGAAGTCCATTCATTCACAGTTAAAAGGCTATTAAAACTAATTATCTCTGATAAGAACGAGCCTTGCTGAGGTTGTGCAAGGCTGCCAGAAGCACTAGATTAAGTTGCCAAAAAATATTCCAAACAAAAAGTCTTCAAACACAAACCAAGATAGTTCCGAACTTCCACAAGGCTTGAAGTACAAAAACTTCTTTGCTTCCTGCAAAGAACTCCAGTTTCTCAACTGGCTTTTATCTCTTAAGGGAGGGGCCATTACCGTGCAGCCTTATTCCCGAGTTGCCCGTGCTGCTGCAGCTGCTCTTTCCTTCAAGCAGCCCTGCTCACACATGCACTTGGCACAGGCTCCTCGGGGAAATCTTCATCATTGCTGCCAGCCTCCACAATCTCCGAAGATAGCATTCCACTCCATATGGTCCTGGCCCCATCCCTGCATCACACACAGGCCCCTCATCTAAGTCCTCACTCTCCGAGACCTCAGCTGTCCACACCTGCTACCGGTGAACCACAACACCAGAGCAGGAAGCCTGGGTAATTTAACATGGAGGATAAACTGTTACCCAATAAGAAGATTTCCCCTCTCTCCACATCACTGAAATTGTCTAATGGAATGGCAGAGCCGATACGATGAGTTCCCGCTGCGTTGCAGGAGTTACCAGAACGTGATTGTACACAGTCACGAACTGCTTCCGGGGCTCAGGCCCCGGATTTGGCCTCGAGGTTGACTCCGGAAGCCTTTTCCAATAATAGATATAGCCACAAGGCAGTGGAGGTTTGAAATCAGAGTTTCCCTTCTCCTAGAAGATGCTTGTACCATTTTATCTGCTGTTGGGGCATAAAGCCTTCTTCTGCCTTCAAAAACTGTTGGCCATCTTTTCCTGTAACCCTGTAACTTACGAGGTGCTACTAGCCAGGCCAGCTGGACCAAGGTTTTTTAAGGAGGTTTTACTCCTGCGGCACTCCTCCTCACTCCAGGAGGCCCAGCTCGGCTCCATTTGCAGTGCCCGTTATCTTCCAACAGTCACTATTCAGAGTTTTGGAGTATTAATTCAACACCGGAAAAAATAAACACAGATGGCTGATGCTTCATTTAACATCTTTATAAACATAATAAGTAGATTTTAGAAACCAGTTGTAGATTTCTCCAACATGGAGCAAACTCAGACAGAAACATGTTGCAGGTAACTTCAGTAGCACACAGAAACAGACACCAGTTTTACTTCAGTTCAGCAGGCAAGCAGAGGGGAGAAGCAGATTCATTTTCAATAGACAGACTCAGAGCTCAACACAGCTGCAGAGTTGCAGAGCTTAATACAGAGCCACGCCTAGGCTACTTTTAGTTTCAGTTTCCAAACAGTTCTCATTGGCTGACTTCGTTGCTATGCCTATTCATTGGCTGACCTTGTTACCAAGCTCCATTCCAGTTCCTGAATATACTCTGACATCATTTTCCGACCATTCCAATCTACCAGCTGTTGGCCCATCCGTTTCTTCACCTCTCTGTTTCTTCCACAAATTCCAGCCTCACCGTTAGTTTATCAAGCTTGTCGCTTTCTTGCCTTTCCCTCCATACATTCTCCCACTTCCACATACCAATCTCTACAATCCAAATTCTTCAAAAACCTCTCTGCACAACACTTCGGAGTACCATCTGCAAACACGTGCAGCCGCTGTCGCCATCTTTTTTTTTAAAAAAAAAAGTTACAACAGCACTGGAAAAGGTGACAGACGACCGTTTTTCACACAACTATGGCAGCATCCCCTTGGCCATGTGATCAAAACTCAACCACTGGGCGGTGCCATCAAATCAGTTGTGGAGACAAAATACAGGTATTCCTCAACTTACAACCCCAATTGGTTGTAAGTTGAGGAATACCTGTATTTTTACAAACATCTAGTTGTAAATGTTCAGAAGAATAACCCACATTACGTATCTGATATTAGCACAGTTGAGAAAGTCCAGAAATATTTCACAAGAAGAGTTCTCCACTCCTCTACTCGTTGCAGAATACCTTATGCCACCAGACTTGAAATTCTAGACCTAGAAAACTTTGAATTACACCGTCTTTGGTCCGATTTAAGTATGGTATATAAAATCATACATTGCAATGTCCTACCTGTCAATGAATACTTCAGCTTCAACTATAACAACACAAGAGCACACAATAGATACAAACTCAAGGTTAATCGCACCAAACTTGATTGCAGGAAATACGACTTCAGCCACAGAGTGGTCAATGTCTGGAATACTCTACCTGATTCTGTGATTTCTTTCCCAAACCCCAAAAACTTTCACCTTAGACTGTCTACTATTAACCTCACCCCTTTCCTAAGAGGTCTATAGGGGGGCGTGCATAAGCGCACCAACGTGCCTATCATCCCTGTCCTATTGTTTCTTTTTATTTTTTCTTATTCGTATCCATTTCATGTATTCATAACTATGTATGTACTTATACCTGTTATCTAATAATCGCTTGACAAAATAATAAATAAATAAAAGTTAATTAATTAATTAATTAATTAATGACGGTTGCTGTGTCCCACGCAGAGTCAAAGGGGGAATCCAGATTCACTTAACAACCGTGACTAAATTAACAACTGCAGGGATTCACTTAACAACTGTGGCAAAGAAAGGTGGCAAAATAGGGCAAAACTCCCTTAACAACTGTCTCACTTCAGAACAGAAATTTTGGGCGCAACTGTGGTCGCAGGTTGAGGACTACCTGTGTATTATCTTTAGAAGCAAAGCCAGCATGATCTTTGGAAAAGTGCACATAGCCCTTGATAAATTTATCCAAATGCTTTGGGGCCTTCTTAGAGGTTTTCTCATTTTGCTTTAGATAAAACCTGATATAAAACTAAGGATATATCAAGCTTTGGAGAGAGATCTCGGTACCCGAGAGAGACTGGAATTCTTCAGGGATTTTTCTCTTAAGTCCTCTGGATGGGTTGGAGGATACATCTTGCTCCAGCTCACAGTTGAAATATTGGCAGATATTAGTCTCAAATATTGACAGTGCTTATCAAATGATGTAAAAATTGAAAGTGATTTGAAAAGGTCGAGATTCTCTCCTCAAGCGTTAAATCCCCACTTCTTCTTTTATAGGCCATAGTTACTTTCAGCAAATGCATTCAGCGTGTTCCAGTTTTACTTCAATTTTGTGCATTTATAATGTTCTAGTTTGACTTTCATTTTAGGGTCCGGCAAGAATCCAGGAAGTCGGTTCATTTGGTCCTTAATTAACCATGTTCTGCAAACACAGCTTATAATCCTGTTCGTTCCTGATGCTTACTTGGGTTAAGCCAGTTGCTCCCTGCTTCCCTCTGTTCCTTCCAGATGAAATCTAAAAGTTTATTGCCAAGAGATTGGAGCAGCAACATGGCGACTGATTCTTCAGCCGTTGGACCCATTGTTTTCCTAGCTGTTCCATTCCTGCCCCATTTCGGCGCTCCTCAGAAACCAATGATCAGCTATTGCTGGAAATGGGAATGGGGGCTTCATAATAATTCATGAGACTCTACAGTGGGGTCTTGCATTTCTCTGATGGCACTGTCCCAAGTGATGGTGATGATGATGG